GGTGTTTGATTCTATTTGTTGCTGCCAATTTAAATTGTCCACGTAAACAATACCAAGATATTTTAGCGCTGTTACTTGTGGAATCGGATCATTTCGATAATGCAGTGAAAGAAATACGGGAACGGATAGAGGGAATACAAGCAGAGCACATCTGCTAACATTAGGTGAAAAAGACAGCCCGCCAAGCCATAGCTCAAGCTCACTCAAATATGGCTGTAAGATTTGATACAAACTATTGATATCTCGGGATGACGAGAAAAAAGCAATATCATCGGCGTAGACGTAAATAGGAACATTTTTATGAACGGGAATAGATGATAATAATATATTAAATAAAAGAGGTGACAGGACTGATCCTTGCGGAACACCTCTTGTTTGCTTATATAAAGCCGAAGTATGTTCTACAAAAAATCACTTCGTCTTCCTTTCCTAAATTACAGAAATTTTTTTAAAATTACAAGAAGTAGTACTGGCATCTACCTTACTACCGTAAGCAACACTAACAATTCTTAGAGTATTTCGAAGCAAACTGTCTATAATAATAATAATAATAATAATAATAATAATAATAATAATAATAATAATAATAATAATAATAATAATAATAATAATAATAATAATAATAATAATATAGACAACGTCCATATCACGTATCTCCCGCACAACGCCGTGTAATCAACGAGCAAGTCGACGACATGCTTCGCCGCGATGTTATTCGACCCTCTAACAGCCCCTTGGCGTCTCCTGTCATTCTCGTCGCGAAGAAGGACGGTTCTGTGCGGCTCTGTGTGGGCAACCGACGCCTCAACAAGATCACTCGTAATGACGTGTACACACTACCGCGAGTAGATAACGCGATTGACAGCCTGCAAGGAGCCGAATTCTTTTCATCCCTCGATTTGTGCTCAAGGTACTGGCAAGTACCTATGGCTGAGGACGCTCGACCAAAGACCGCTTTTGTCACCCCCAACGGCTTGTACGAATTCAACGTCGTGCCGTTTGGGCTGTGCAATGCGCCCGCCACCTTTGAGCGCATGATGGATACCATTCTGCGTGACCTGAAATGGCACACGTGCCTGTGCTACCTCGATGACGTCGTCGTTTTCGCTCCGGACTTTTCCACGCATCTTTAACGCCTGCGGCATGTTTTAACGCGTCTGAGTGACGCCACTCTGCAACTGAACCTAAAGAAGTGCCGATTTGCAGCTCGGCAGCTGACAATACCGGCTACGTCGTGTCCAAAGACGGAATTCTCCCCAATCCAGCCAAGCTTCGGGCCGTGACCGAGTTCCCCAAGCCGACATCCGTCAAGGAACTGTGCAGTTTTGTAGGACTGTGTTCTTACTTTCAGCGCTTCATTCGAAGCTTCGCGACTATCTTATCCCCGCTGACGAAACTCCTCGGAAGTAACGGGCCTCTTCATTCGTGGTCATCACAGTGTCACGACGCATTCATAACACTCGGTCGTTTGTTGACGTCGCCTCCCATACTCCGCCACTACGACCCCACGGCCCCTACAGAGGTATACACGGACGCCAGTGGTGTCGGCCTCGGCGCTGTCCTTGCACAGCGCAAACCAGGGTTCCCTGAATATGTCGGGGCGTATGCAAGCCGTACGCTTACAAAAGCCGAGTCTAATTACACCATCACTGAGAAAGAATGTCTAGCAATCGTCTGGGCTCTTATTCCGACCTTATTTGAATGGTCGCCCTTTTGATGTCGTCACCAACCACCACGCACTATGCTGGTTGTCGTCACTGCAAGACACCTCAGGCGGTCTCGCCCAGTGGACACTTCGCATGCAAGACTACGACATCCACGTGCTGTACCGCAACGGAAGGCACCATGCTGACGCCGACGCCCTGTCGCGCTCTCCCTTGCCTGACGACAATGCCCACAACACAGCGTCTCACCTTGCCATTTCTTCCCTTGGCATTCATGCCGTTGCTACTGAACAGCGCGAGGATCAATGAATTGCCTCACTGATAGACATCCTGACTGATCCATTCACTCCATCCACTCGCGCGTTGCGTCGTCAAGCCCACCATTTCGCCATTCGCGACGACCTCCTCCACCGACGCAATTACAACGGTGACGGCCACCAGTGGCTACTAGTCATACCCCGCAGTCTGCGCTCTGACATATGCGAATTATTTCATTCTGATCCGCAATGTGCGCACTGAGGGGTATTGAAGACTTACCACCGTATTCGCCAACGGAACTTTTGGCGCAGCATGTACCGCTACGTGCAGAAGTTCGTTCACTCCTGCATAGATTGTCAGCGCCGCAAAACTTCAACTCACCTGTCGCCGGTAGGTCTGCAACCTCTACCTTGCCCTGCCAGGCCATTTGGGCGCATTGGCATCGATTTGTATGGACCACTACCACAAATGTCGGCTGGTAACCGCTGGGCCGTTGTCACTGTGGACCATCTCACGTGCTACGCCAAAACTGCCGCTCTCCCCGCGGCTACAGCGAGCGATGTGGCCTCCTTCCTGCTCCAACGATTCATGCTGCGACATGGTCCACCTCAGGAACTGCTCAGTGATCGAGGCCGCGTCTTCCTGTCTGAAGTCGTCGAAGCCATTCTCAAAGAGTGCAACGTTGTTCACCGCAAAACTGCTGCTTACCATTCGCAGACGAATGGCCTCAACGAACGCTTCAACCGTACGCTTAGCGACATGCTCTTCACGTACGTCGCCGCCTATCACACAAATTGGGATGCCATTCTGCCTTTCGTCAGCTACGCATCATTACCACCCCTCTGAGCACTACTGTGTTTCACCTTTCTTTTTATTATATGGAAGGCACCCGTCGCACACCCTCGACACAATACTTCCGTACAAGCAAGATCCCTCCAAGTAGGCGCCTATTTCTGCTACAGCCAAGCTTGCTGAAAAGTGTCGAGAGCTTGCAAATATCTTTACTGCGCATGATCAAGAGCTGAAAAAAGGCATTCGCGCTGACACCAGCACTACTGCGCCCACGTTCCTCCCTGGAGCGCTCGTCTGGCTCTCGATCCCTACCACTGCAACTGGCCTATCTTCAAAACTATTGCCCAAATACGAAGACCCCTATCGTGTCGTCGAACGCACTTCCCCTGTAAATTACTTGATCGAACCCATCGAACCATCTTCGGACATGCGCCGTCGAGGACGCGACATTGTCAACGTGGAGCGCCTCAAGGCCTACCACGGCCCGCTCATAGTAACCAGCTGTTAGGTCGCCAGGCGGCTCTCTCTTCGTACCCGGGGTAGTTGTGGCGAAGCCTTCGAACAGTGGGTCGTCCTTTCCAGCACCTTCTAGTGGGTTGTCCTTTTCGTATAAAGAAGAGCAGCTCGTGCAGAGATTCGGTCCCCGCATTGACTGTCGCTGTTGTGCATCATCGACGAGTGTCCGCCAATAAACGTCTTAATAATAATAATAATAATAATAATAATAATAATAATAATAATAATAATAATAATAATAATAATAATAATAATAAATGCTGTCCGGAACCGCGAAAACTGACGTCCGATGCTGCAAGAGCCCCATGTTGGGCAGCCAGTGTGGGGTCTCGAACTGGTGAGAACGCCATGCTCTTAGAGTGAACGGACGCAGTTTACACGGTCGGAACGAACCACACAACACACATTCATTTAACTACCTTTAGAACGACGATATCGCCAGCCGTATTAATATACATCAATTGTGATCAACGCGCTAAAACAACCTTAAACAATATTACACAACACTCAACATCACAAACACAAGGCGGCGTCGTCAACGCTCGACTCACCACGAGGGCCCGCGAACGACAACCCGCGGTGGCATCCTCACGTGCCTACCACTTTAGAGAACGGAAACTGTACCATTGGACTGTTGTATAAAAGAATCACCAAAAGCAACTGCAATCGTAAGTGGCATAAGATAAGCATTACCGTTATGGGATATATTTGATAAGTTATCGGCTGCTTGTTCCCTATTCAAACAAATTCGGCAGGTGTCACATACCTGGGAATCGATGTTATGTGAAGCATGTGGAGGGAAGGTGACCGTGTTGCAATTTTTTTATTGAGCGACACGCCATGACATGACGCTAAACATATGTACAAATGTTGCACGCACAGATATATGTTGAAGAGTTGCAAATGTTGATATAACCAGTTGTTTGCACTTGCGCATCAACGTCAACCGGAACATGTGTATTAACAACACCAGAAGCTGATATGAAGCGTTGATGCTCGCGGAGATGCTGGCCCTGGACACTGCTGCATAAATCCATTTCAGCGCATGGCAACTAACCACAACTGACGTTAACGCGACGTGACGACTGTATCAAAGGAGTACATATGTAATGTTTATAAAATTGGGTAGGCAGCACTGCAACCACCATTGACGTTTCATGAAGATTAACGTCTATTTGAAAAAAAGTTCCGAGACGTGGCGTAGCTGTATGGTAAAATGCTTCACTGCCACACAGAATGCTTGAGTTTGATTCCAGCTGGGACCCTGGCATTTATTCTTTGTATTCGTCAGCTCGACGCTACCAATGTCAGGTATTTTTTAACGCTCGCGTGTTAAAATTGACCATGTGTGTTCTCGTCGTTCCTGGGTAGACACTAAGTGTTAATCACTTGTGGCTCATACCGCATACCATCGGCACATACCCGCCCATGGGTATGTGCCACTGTCTAGTGGGAAGTGTTTGGTGACGTACGTGACGGGATTGTGACATTCATGTCTTCACAAGCGTGTCATATTTGTCCAACCATCTTACCCTCCCATACTAATTTTGGTTCACGCCAAGTTAAGGGGGTGACCACGAGAGCACCCAATTTAAAGCGGTTAGATAGATAGATAGATAGATAGATAGATAGATAGATAGATAGATAGATAGATAGATAGATAGATAGATAGATAGATACGCTCGAAATCGCCGAAGTTGTCTGAAAAATGATTCGCCTTTAATAATAATAATAATAATAATAATAATAATAATAATAATAATACCCTACCTGTGCATGGTAGACAGGCCAGTGAGGCGTCCAGAGTACAGCCCTGCCTCTGCCTGCACCTTGACGATGAACTTGGTCTCAAAGCGCCGCGTCGTGTTGGGCACCGTGAGTGGGTCGATTGCACCTGACTGGCTCACGGTCTTGAGCACTTGATCGAACAAGTAGTTGACCACTGCGGTGTAAAGGCCCGGCGCCGGGGTCGCCTCGGTTACTCCTTCCAAGGATGGGTAGAGGCTGCCTGAGATGCCAACCAAGTATCAGCCACTATAACAACGAAGTGTCAGACGTGTTTAAAAACACAATGGCAACTAAGGGGCAATGACATGCCGGTTTACCACTATAAAAAGTAATTTACCAAAAGAGGACGCCTGAAAGTAGATAAACGTAAAAATGCCATACACTTTTACAAAAAAGTTTATAATCTGATAGTAAACGCGTGTGTTCACTTGTTTCCGGAGTATTTTACTACCTTCGCGGCATGCCTTTACTAGCCAGCAGTTAGTACAGCTTGTAACCTGAGCCGTTACTAACAGGGTAGTTTGCTTGGCGTTTTTAACCAAGTAACTACTAAGCCACCTATGTTGCCAGATCTTCCGTAGATGCCATAGTACATTTTGCCGTAATGGTGACATCGTAAGCAAAATTTAGGCAAACTTCAATTTTCTCGACTACCTTGGAATAGAAGTTCCGTGCTATGCATTGTCACACATATAAGCAAATAGAAAGGCACATGATGATGTATAGAAAACAACAATTATCTTCTAAAATATGTGCCTGCTAACCAGTGAACGGTGTGCAATCCCAAAGTAGGGGCATTAGAGCCTTCAAGCTGCTACTACAGTAATAATAAATATGTGGGTTTTAACGTCCCAAAACCATCATATGATTATGACAGACGCCGTTGTGGAGGGAACCGGAAATTCTGATCACCTGGGGCTCTTTAACGTGCACCCAAATCGGAGTACATGAACCTACAGAATTTTCGCCATCGAAAATGCAGCCGCCACAGACGGGATTAGATCCCGCGACCTGCGAGTCAACAGCCCTGCTGCTCCAGTAGACGTATGCTATGTTGAAGTCTTGAAGATTTGCGTCTGCGTGTGTGTTTTCGCTTTTGATTCGTTAACTAAGATCATATGCTCATATGATAATGAGCATCATCGTATGTATGACCATATGTGAATATATTATGTGATCTCTATAAGGAAGTCTGTAATGCACATAAAGTAGTCAGCAGCCATTAATTAATGCACGAGGAGAATGTCAGCTCGTTTTTTTTATCCTATACTTTCTATTAGAATCTTGTTCACATGACCTCCCTGCCTTTCTTTTTTCTCGTTTTTTTTTGTTCACATGACGACCAACGCACACGCACATATAACAAAGTAGGCGTAAATCTCTATTTGTGGGGTTACTAACAATTCAGTAATGGACTAACCACTCGAGTCAGCCCTATTCACTTAGGCTAGGGCTTTATGAAACAAGTGGATAGTTAGTATTTATAGTTAGGTGAAAACGCCAACGTTTAAAGATTGCATGACAAATCTAATGAAAAAGATATCCAAAGTCATTTTAATTATAGTGAAGCTTTCAGAAGTTTATTCAGAAAGAACAATACGTCATCACTTCTTTGCTAGCTTGTTCTAAACAATCATCCGTATCATGCAACTGATATAACTTTGATAACATGGTCAGACAGACAGACGTAGCAAAGGAACGTAGTCCTTCCATTACGACGTGAGAGCGGCCCGCTACATGCTCGAGCGCGTTGCAAGAAACCTAAATAATGGTTTTCCACCCATCCATTCATTAGATAGACCCATCCATTCCACGAAGATAGATCCATCCATTCCACGAAGCGGCGAACACGGGGAGGGACGGTATTTCAGTGGCTTCCTGGACGCTAGCATTATTGCCGCACATCCACAGCTTTCGCAGTAGGACCTAATTGATTGATATGTAGGGTTTAACGTTTCAAACGCAGTAGGTCCTGACCTCAACAAAATTCGTGCCAACCAAGAATTTCTGGTTACGGGGGCTTTTTTAGACGTTGACAGTTTTGTCGGGTTATGGCCTTATTTGCGCCTTCTGTCCAACGCTTTGTGGCTGATTGGTATGATACTGAAATTTCTGCTTGAGTTTTTTCTGTGTCACAACTCTCTCGCATGACTGACGATCAGTGTCGCGATATTTACCTCTGAAACGCCATCGGCTGTCAAAGATTGTCTTGAATGGCAGCATTATCGTCACTTCCCATACCTCGTTGCCATCTGGAATCGTACTTTGTAGCACCCTTGATCTTCTCGCCAAACCGAAGATCCTTTACTGTGACTTCTTAAACGGGCCTCATGACGCTTCTACTGAAGAAATAGAGCACGCAGCGACATCTTAAGGCAGTGTCACACTTCTACCCAACGTACGCTTCGTCAAGATTTGTAAAGTGTGGGTTTTGCGGAGAGATGCTCGCTTTTCATAAAGGCCCACATCACATGATTCACCGAGTGACTTCAACAAGTAACTTCGTAAGAAGCGATACGTTGAGTCTTCAGCCGGGAAGAGTGCCGAGGATGATTTCAATGGCTGTCGCGAGACGCATTTGTACTGATGGGGTGAACCCTGGCGGCGACAATTTTTTGAGCCGTTGAGGCAAGTGACAAAAGGCAAAGTGCCCGTTAAAATAGTTTGGGCTTGCCTACAGACCATGTGATCTAGCTTCGAGCTGTATATGAGAGCACAGCTGTATGAGTGCTATAGCCCAACTAGCCCATATAGAGCACCTTATACAATTGAACTTTAGAAAAACCAACGGAACCCGTTTTTGAGCAATACTGTCGAAGACGTGTCCGAGAAGGAGTCTCCTCCTCGGACACAGCACTTCATAACTACAGGAGATACTGCTATCCGCAATGCTTGCCTTAGAGTCGATGCGTTCTCTTGCACGAAATGAATTTGCCGTTAAAGGATATTGGGCAGGCGCTCATAAATTTTCACGTGCGGGCAACTGGTTCCATCTGAAAGGCTGAGGCCTTGTCTCTGAAGATAGTGACGCGTCCGCATACCTGCATATCGTAATATGGCGGGTGCTTGGAGCAACTTATTCTTGAAGTGCAGTTACTAATGCCGCCTGCACAAATTGAGACTAATGCCCATCTGGAGCAGAGATGCCCAAGCCAGCCCTCACTGAAAACTCAAGAGTGTCCTTTATGATTTCGCCTAAGACGACTGGAAGGCATCTTAGGCGATCTAATGTAGATGGAATGTTATTACCACGCACTGTTCCAAAACATTTCTGCATCTAACATGGTGTTTTGCACTGCCCCCAAGAACGGAGGCATTGCAAGTTTTCTGCCCTTCACATGGTCTTGCATTGCCTCCATGATAGGCATACCTTTGAAGAAGCAACGATACCATGTGATTACGACATCATGATATGCGGCGTCATGACCATGTCACATTGTTTGACGATATGTGACGCCGTGATAACGTAATTTGGTGCCGTCATCGAGGGATGCTTTTTGCGTCCCTGGGGTGGACGCCATCGCCGAGGCACGTCGACGTTCAATTTTTTTCGCGCTATGAGGCATGTATTAAGGTTTTCGCTATCATACACCTGAAGTCAAAATGCCACCTTGCGGAAACTCTACGGTTGGCGTTTAGCAAGCGGTATATTGCTTGGAGGTCGAGGCACACCGGGAACATAATATATTGTCTGTCAGCGTTGCAGCAGGGAAGCCCTGTGTCCTGCAGTCGGCGATCTTAGAGCATTCCGAAGTCAGGGCTCCGTGCACAGATTAAGCGTTCCAATGCCTCTGAGTCACCGCATTTTCTGCAAACCGGCGGGAGGGTTCAGCCACTGGCACATAACTAGCAGCCATCCAGACACAGCCAGTTCAAAGAGGAAGTGCTGGTTAGCGGTAACACAGATTCCGCTCTTATTAGACCCAGTTAAAATGTCCTACATTACAGCATGCGGTACTGACCATAATTTGCGTGATCACAACGCTTAACTTGTCTTCGGGCCATGCAATGCCCTAGAATTTCCATTGTTCCATTCCGAGTTAGAATATTACACAAACTCTGAACGTTTTGGCACATATGACTTTAAACAAGCCAGCACAGATTTACTTACTTTGAGCGGTGGCAGCGACGAAGACGCAGCAAAGACTGATGACCGAGAGACTCCACATGTTCCTTCGCTGCGATAAGCAATCAATATTACAATAAAAAGGCTTAAAATGGCTACACTCAGTAGAATTTCTCATGATTCAAAGTACGCATTTCTCGGGGAAAAAACACGCACAATACAAATTTGACATTTCGGCCGATACACACGATGTGTCGTGCTATGACTAACAGGACCCCAGGAACACATTGCAGCAAAAAAAGGGAAGCCAGAATTGTTGTGTCAATACCACTTTAAGCCGGAAAATATGACCAATCATTATTTTTTCATCAAACCAGTATTGCGAAACGCGAGCATCACACCGCGAAACACTTCATTGAAGCAGCACATTGCTGTCAACGAACAGTGACAATAGTACACTCCACAGCTGACATTTACTTTTGCTCGCATCACATCCCTGTGGAGCGGTGAAGCTTGCTAAAGCAAGTCCATAATTATAGAGTGCAAACAAAATCTGCGCTGCGCACGCTGTACTTCACCTTGCTTATTTACTTCCATGGCTTTCATGGCCACTCAATTTAATGTATTGGGCATTTACGTTATTTTTATGTGCTGCTAATTGAGCGACTTGCTTTATTAAGCTTTATCCCAGTGCAGGTGTGTTGGTGTTGTGCCGCGAAGCATCTACAGCGTACTGTTAATCTCCTCTTTGCTTAAAGGCACAGCGACATAAAATTTCAAGCTTGAGGTGTGACCTTCGATAGTTGAGTATGGCTCGGTGCAAGCCGCACCACAATGTCTCGGATTCTTCACCCTTGTTCTGGTAAGATTACGTGGCGGTGGCATTTCTATGTTGGTGACATGCTTGAGGTACTCACAAGACTCAAGCATTGAAATGGGGCAACTTACGGCTAAGTAACGCACATACTTTAGTTTCTACCACCAACAGTTTCGTTTATTCCAACGTCGTTTCAACACGAACATGTAGATTGGAGCCAACGTTGTCTTTAGAGACTTGAGTGCTCGTGACATGACGTGGTTAGGTCGAGCAGTAAATAGAGCCTCGAGCACTTATACCAGAAAATTAATTTGATGTCTGGTGTGAATCTGTCAGTACTGTACTTAGATTTAGGTGCACGGTAACGAACACCAAATGGCAAAAATTTCTAGTTCCCTCGTCTATGGCGCTGCTAAGAACCATATTGTGATTTTGTGACGTCAAACCCCGTCAAATATTATTGAGATCACACACAGTACTCCAGTACTCTAGTCTGTTCAGAAGATTCCGCGAGCATCACCAATATTTCTAGAAGGTGCAATTAGTGGTGCACAAAACACAGTTACCAAATCACTAACGGCCGATAATTTTAGGTATACAGCGTGGTTTGCTTGTACATTGAGTTACATGGTTTGTGAGGCACATTTTAGCCCAAACAGAGAGATTCGTCTCAACCAAAGAGACTGCCATCATATTCATAGTCACCATCATGTCACAATGCGATAAGTTTGAGACGTTTCTGGGGTGCGCATGTTTTCTCGGGGTAGACAAATTGTTCAAAGATTGCACGTGAGTACAACGAGAACGAACACTTTATTTACGTCAGCAAATAAGTATGTTATGACAAGTCATTGGAGTTTTATGTGCTCTTCGTATACACAATGCGGCCCAAAAAATTTCGCATATGGCGTTGTAGTTGATCTACACCGTTGATTTCATTCTGCATAAACAGCTTTTATGGACAAAGTAAAGTTGCACACCGGTATTTTAGCCATCGTGCAAAGTCTTCTTATAGAAGCTCTTGGTGTTAGATGCGAAATTACTAGCTGGCCGGCCATCTGAGCAGCGAGTGCCATCAATTACAAAGTGACAAGCAAGAACCACTGTCACCGAAGAGTTGTTACGTTAAGACGCGAAAACAAACCAAAATAAGTGCTTTCGAAAGTAAACTATATGTACTTTGAGCAAGAAAAACAAGAGCTTTAATATAATTAGTGACATTTCATTAAAATGAAACGAAATTGATCACATCTATGAATTATGCAAGCATTTTGAATAGGCATTTGTTACAACATTATGGGAGTCTTTCTATATTATAAGAAATTTGCGAATGTATCGATGTATCTTGAGGCACGATTGGGAAATATCGTATCGGATACACACATTGCGGTACTATATTTGTCACTAATCCTATTGGAGAGGCAGTCAGCGGGTAGATTCCCAGGACTGACAAATTGAATCTCCCCTCCCCCCCCCCCCCCCCCCCCCGGGAAGCACCATGAAATCACGAGCAATTCTCTATTCAGTGCGCCAGCGTAGGCTGGTTGTGGACCAAAGACCGAGACAGAGCCAAGAGTTGATAAAACAAACAAATTATATTCTTATTTAGGGCAGCCTATGCATCGGAAAACCACGCGCACTCAATTTCTCAAGACCTCGATTCACCTTTTCGATAAAGAATTGTATTTTTATTGATGTAATGAAGTGACATCTTGTCACGACATGTTCGCTTCCTGGGATCCTTTATTGCGCCACATGTGTGGAACCACGCGTGTGAAATAACTAAAACCAATTGTCAGAACAGCGCTTGTTCGTGTCCGTTCCTCTCAGTCATCAGTTCGGGTTGCGCTGCCCGCAGCCAATTCGTGCACACTCGACAGATATCAATCACAATATAATTCACAATATAACTCTGATGGTAGGACGTATTTCTCATTGTTGGGACGTATCATGAATGTTTATTTTCCAGGAACCACTCACGCAAAGTCCACCGCTGATTGTCATTCCATTGCGCCGGTGACCTCCGTGATTCTCATCCTGGAACACAGCTCCCACGCAACTTCCACGGCGTCATCCCCCCATTCTTCGAGATCAACTGTCTGCAATTGACCCAACGAAATTTTGCCGGCATCACCATGCTCTACTCACTGACATACCGTGACCAGTTGACTCCTGATGCTCCGCCACCACCTGGTTATGTCATTTCGCGTCTAGATTCACGAAGCTTCCAGTGTTCTCCTCGGCGCGCAGTACAGTCAAAGCTACAGAACAGGTTGTATTTTTCTCGTCGGTTTCCCTCATCGTAAGGTTAGTTGGCACAGCATCATGTTTCCCTTTGTGATGTTTCTATGCATCGCCTGGCGTTTGATCCGAGAGAGCTTGTTGGCGGCGGCCGTTTCGAGGCGTAGAGAAGGCGGCCCAGGGCGTCTTTTGACGCTTTTTTTTTTTTCGTTGCACTCGCTCCAACGCGACAGACCGGCGCCCAGATTTCACAGTGCCGTTCGAAATTGCTGACGCGCGCTTAATTCAGCACTCAATTGTGACATTTTATCTGTGTTTCCGATACATCATGCCTGAGAAACCTGAATCGTGCGCGATACAATTTCAAAATAGCTTTGCTCAGCCCTGCCTGTGCCCAACCTCCTTGAACGCGCCTTGCTTGCAAGCCTAGAAGTGTCCCAAAATTAAGAGTACACAAATCTTACACCGTGGATCACACATATGATTAAGTATCCATCTCTCGACATTTCGAAAGAGCAGCTACGAATGATTAACCGGCTAGAAGAATTTGGAGCTACTGATACTGCACGGTGAGCGAAGTTGTCTTACCTTAAATTTGATTTTAAATATGCAATTACTGGACGCCCTGTCTATATTGTTCCTACATTGGAGGTGCTAAGGGCAATCATTTTAAATTTTATATTATTCACCTCGTGATTGAACCCTGCGTTGCAGCGTGAGTGACCGAATGTAACTTCAATAAATTTTTATTTGTGTGGAAACCGCATCTAACTTTAATCAACGCTTTCCATGTCTCACATAACTTTTAGTCTGCTTGCTCCTCTCCGGCATGAAGATGCTAAGATGACTCAGGCATCCACGTCAAATGCATTACCTAATCACATAGCCACTACGCGCGCACATTCGTAACACGGTGATTTTATACAATGCCAAATCAGCTCCGCTGACGCTCCCGCACGTGCTCTGCGTTCGTCAAACAGAAAGTCCTGACCAATCTGATATCGGCTAATGCACTGTACTGTACCACGTTCAACCAGTTAATTCAACTGGCATTGAGGTCAGAGAAAGGGTGTTGCCGTTCATTGTTTTCGCTGTCGAAGATAGAGATGGCGTGCCGGGAGGCATAGAGTTTCTTAATATACACTAGAGGGAACTCTGGCGCTAGTGTCTATGGGAGCTGCAATGCACGGCGCTTCGGCGAGCATGGGAATGATGGGTAGTACACACATTTGTCTAAACTTCGTACTTCTGGCCTGATCTTGGCTCCGTGTGTGTTCGTGTGGCTTGGAGCTGTTTTCTCACGAAACAAAAATCAGCAAATGTTCAGTGATTGTGCTTCACCACCTCATTATTTTAGACTTACCTTTCCAAACTGGGTCACGAAGTTCAAAAGGTTTGAACTTTATTTCAAAACAAAACCGAAACACAGCAATGAACAAAGCCGCAAGTACGATTCGCCGCCCGCAAGTACGAAGACTAGACAAATGTGTGTACTACCCATAATTTCCATGGTCGCTGAATGATCGCAGTGCCAGAGTGCCCTCTAGTTAATTTTAGGAAACTCTATGCCGGGAGGAAGCACGCGCAGTTGCGCCTCTAGCGGGTGCTTAAAGGGGCCCTGAGACACTTTTTGGAGTAATCATGAAATTAGTTTGCCAAAACATAGTATAGCCTCACAACTTCAACGCCACAAAAGTTTTAGGGAATCCGTCCAGTACGAGCGAAGGTTACAAAGATTTGCTCACACGCTGCTATCACATTCTCCCTTCTCTCGTCCCGTCGAAAGCGCTGGCAGCTAAGCAGGGAGGGATGCAGGGGCAAAGAAAGTACGTCACGCGCGCCTTGTGACCTTGAGCACTTTTTTCTTTTGTTCGCCGAATCCATGGCGTTTTTAAGTGCGATCGCGCGCGCACGTGTGGACAAGTGGCTGCCTTCCGCTGGCGATCTCTGTAACGATTGAGTGCGCCCTGTTCAAATCAGCCGAAAGCTGATAGATGGGCTTACTACGAGTAACTTTTGGGCTTATTGCGTGATTTTTCGAGAGAAGAGAAATT